TACATCATCTGAAAGCTGACTAAATAAGCTTTCCATTGATGTATGGTTTGTTAGGATAGGACAATATTTGGCTGAGATCATCAATATTTGAACATCTGGAATCTGAGGGTGCAAAAAAATCAAAATATTGAGAAAATCGCCTTTAAAGTTGTCCAAATTAAGTTCTTATGAAGTCTTCCATGCAGACAAAATATCTTCATGGAACATGATCTTTACTTAATATCCTAATGATTTTTGGCATAAAAGAAAACATAAAAGAAAAATCAATCATTTTGACCCATACAATGTATTTTTGGCTATTGCTACAAATATACCCCAGCGACTTGCGACTTATCCGTGATTTTTTTTTATATTCTTTGATGAATAGAGAGTTAAACAGAACAGCATTTATTTTAAATAAATATTTTTAAATATTTTTACACAGTATAAATGTCTTTTATTCATGAAATAAATGTCTTTGCTGACACTTTTGATCAGTTTAAAGGGGTCATATGATGCGATCATTATAATCCATAATTATGTCCCCACTGGATGCAACGAATGCCTCGTTTATAATGGGTTTCAATGTTTTTGTCTCGTCGCTCCGGCCGGACAGGGCATCATTACATTATGGTAAGGGGCGTAACATTTCCGTCTCACGCTTGAGGTATTCGGCCAATCACAACGCACTGGATAGCTGGCCAATCATAGCACACCTTGCTTTTCAGACCGATGAGCTTTGTAAAAATCAACGCGTTTCAGAAAGGCAGGGCATAGAGGAGAAACAATAATGTACAGTATGTGGAAAATAATGTTTTTTTAACCTTAAACCGCATAAACACATTTCATTACACCAAATACACAAAAAAATATTATTTTTAGCAGCATCATATGACCCCTTTAAGGCATCCTTGCTGAATAAAAATATTAATTTCTTTAAAAAAAAAAATCTTACTGACCCCAAACTTTTGAAGTGTAGTGTATCAGCATTGCGTAAATAAAGCTAAAAACAAATACCAATTATTGGAATAAAGTAAGAATAAAGAACCATTCAATTATTGGGGATAACAGCACAGATATATTACAGTAAAACAAAAATTATTATTTTTTTTCTTTTCTACAGGGAACTCCACTCACCCTATTAAAAGATATGTGGGTGAAAGTAAATGAAAAAAAAAATAGCTATGTCATTCTTTGAAGTGGAATGATTTAAATTTCCCCTCCCAGGGCTTACAAAGTCAAAAACCTAACAATCAAATTCACGTATGTGTTAAAGCTCACAGCACATCCACACACTGTGTCCCCTGAAGGCCAGTGTTTGAGCAAAATGAACTGGATTTACAGTGATTGGCTGGGCAAAGCAGTCTGAGGTGAAACCGGAGGATTGTAAGACTGCTCGGGGCTGCTGGGGAGCAGATAATAAATGGCAGACAAGTAGGTGACCATCAGTCACTCCTTCCTTCTGAGAAAATTAGAGTTTGATGTGATAACAGAGAGCCAAATGTTCCTATGCTCAGGGGTAACAGAAGAGAGCGCATCACTGTAGACATCTCACGAGTTTATATGTGTAGGTATGAGTGAGCAGCCTGACTGAGCCCAGGGTGGAGTATTTTTTATTTATTTTTTGGTTCAGGTAGATCATATATTCATGAGTTATACCATAGGTCAAGACTGCCCCAAGCAGATAATATCGACTGTTGGAGAAAGAGGGAGGTAGAGAGAAAATATGACTGGTTTTATTCAGCCTTTACCAAAAGAAATGAGTGAAGTGCTAATGAAAGTTTTGGGATAAATGTTGAAGACATTCAATGTGGCCAGAGCTGTTTGGCTGCAATAGTTTAGCAAATTATTGTGCTCATGCACTTGTAGCCAGTAATGGCTGCATTAGTACACTTAATTAGGAGCATCCAACAGAAACTCGCCAATAATGGTACTACACTTTTAAATGTGTTTTCCAAATGCATAAATGGATTTGCACACATATAAACACTAGTTGCACAAGTAGCTCTAATTCGGACTGATTTACCCAAGGGTTCTTTTTAGTGTATCAGTCGAACACATTTGTAATTTATCAGATCACAGCAAGAGGGAATAAAACTATTCTCATTTATGTTCTATATTTTACTTATGCCTCAAGAACACAATAAGCCTAAACCTGAGTAATCTCCATACTGCAGAGCCATGCAGAAGAAAAAATTGTGCACAGATGCTTTCTGAAAATAAACATTTGCTGGCGTTGGTTGACTTAGCTTTCTTATCACGACTGATTCAGTCCCACATATAAACAGGGATTGTTGAGCTAAAATTACTGTAATGTTCTCAGAACAATTTGGAGTTAGGGACTCATTGTTTCTCTAAGTGCAACAGTTTTGCAACAGATTAGCATTTTGATAAAGTAAAAAATGAAGATGAATTCTCTTCCTCTGTAAATGGCCTACAAAATTAAGAAGTCTGTTCCTATGTATTTTGCTAACAGTATAGCCTATGATTGACAAAGAACTATAATAAAACCATAAGTGTTATGATAGAAACAGTTTTTGGTTTCAGATTGAGCATATGAAGCTGACAGACACGTCAGCAGTCTATCTGCATCAGCTAGTATATAATGCTACAAGCAGCACAAAGTACAATAGGAGAATTTGTAAATATAGACCTCCATCTGGTGGTCATAAATCATAAATCCTTAAAACAGTGAAGTGAAGGCCTATAGAAGTAATGTAAACTGGAGAAGGTTTGGTTATTATCGTAGAAATATCTTATAGTAAATGGGCTATAATTAAAGGAATTTCTTTCAAAATAATTCACTAAATAATTACAAATTTAATTTAATAATTAGCCTATTATTCAATTTCAAGCAAAGAATCACCCAAAGATTTAATCAAAGTGTGACTTTTGTAAGATTTTGTAAGACGGCTATACATTTAGTTTGAAATGGTAATTTTATCAAAAAGTTTGGGCTGATCATTTTTTATTCATGCACTTTTCTTTGCCTATTTTATTTGATTTTTTGATGACTGACGCACAGATGCATTAAAGCAATGCTATCATATTTATATACATATTTATTTTTAATGTTAGGCCTATTTATCTTTCAAAATTCCATATAATGTAAATTCACAAAGAATTCTGGCTTTTTTAACGAAATCAAGCAACCTGGTAACGATCAGTGCATTTAAAAACATACAACCTATGTATAAAGTTTATATTTATTGTTTTGTATTAATGTTCTTAGGCATGTTTAGCATTGTTTTATTGTTTTATAATCCACGTTGACCTACCGCAATTGGTAGCATCTGCGCATGCGCACTCGTGGCCCCTCCTAGTAACGACTTTATTCTTTGCCCCTGCGCTTTCTGCGGAAACCCCTTGAGTGCGCGTGCAGTCGTTAGGTTGTTTTCGCAACCCACTGTAGTCAGTGCGATCAAATTGTGCTTTAAACATCTGTGTGGCCATCATAGTTGAGGACGGGGCGACTGGATTACCGCGGCAGTATTTCGATAAAAGGAGAACTGTTTTGCTTGCTCGTTTTGTTTTAGCGTTTTCTAACGGTTTTGCTGTAGTCTTTTGTTTTTGTATGTGTGATGGACGCCATTTTAGGTTGATCACACTTAACTTACTAGCTGCTAGCCACATTGTTTCAGGCCTTGCTTCAAACTACGTCGGTTTGTGTTTTGTTGAGATTTGGACTACACCAAACAAACATTTCGGAGGGACTTTGATGCGGACATTGGGGAGACATATTTGACCAGACTCTACACGTTCACCCGTACGGACACTGTTTGAACTGTGTATTTCTTTGTCAGAGTTGGACCTTGCGGACAGCTCACGGCTAACCGCCATTTGGTCCTGGGACATTGAGAAACAGCAGGAGTATTTCGATCTTCTGCCGGGAAATTCCGTGGACTAAAAGTCACTTGCGTCTTTAAGATTGCGTGTTACACATGATCACAGTCTCTTTGAACACTTGATATTTTCAATTCGCAGTTATTCACGTGAGGCAGAATCCACACGACCCTCCTTAGTGGTGACTCTTAATTTAAAAGAGTGTTGAGATGATGAGCAAACATGGCTATTATTCTTAAACTGTTAAGCTGATAAACTGACACTGAGTAAAGGGTGATCGCTGGGAGAGCCCAGGCGGTCGTGCGAATTGTAGTTGAGTTTGGTTGTGTGTGGTGGTGGTGTCTGACCACGAGGATTGTTTAAACATGTCTTGTGTCCATTACAAGTTTTCTTCTAAACTTAACTACGACACGGTCACCTTCGATGGCCTTCATATCACGCTCAGTGATTTGAAACGCCAGATCATGGGGAGAGAGAAGCTGAAGGCCGCGGATTGCGACCTGCAAATCACCAATGCTCAGACTAAAGAAGGTAAGCTGGACGAATACGTTGTTTATACCGTTTTTAGGTTGCTGTGAGTTAATTGGTTACGAGGCTTGAAAGAGTGCGTATATATCTTTGGGAAAAGGTTTTTGTCAGTGTTAGCTCGAAGCTAATGTTTGCTAACTGAGCTAACAAGTCCAAATCCTGACAGCCACCAGCATTGTCACTGTACTCAAACGTTGAGTTTTGTTTGCCAGGAAAATCATATTATGACTGTTGTTATTAAATTTGTGATTATAAATTCAATGTAAACGTTGACTAAACTTCACTTGTGTAGAGTAGGCTCCATTTTGCATGTACTTGTTCACGACGTGTGCTTTCGTTTCCTACCCTTGTATATAGACACATGAATGGAAAATGTGCCACGTTGATTAATGTTCTTGTCATTCTTGCCTGTGTTTGCAGAATACACTGATGATGGAGCCCTCATCCCTAAAAACTCGTCTGTCATCATCAGACGAATCCCTATTGGAGGGCTGAAGTCCACAAGCAAAACATTTGTCATGTAAGTACATTAATACTTCAACTTACTGATAGCATCTGCTGTGTTTACATTTAGTTCAGTTTGAAGTATGTTCTCAAAGCGGAGTCTTTAGGTCTGATAAAACAACCCTAAAACTAAAATGGTCCTTTGCTTGCCCTGATATTAATTCAAAATTTCAAGATGTTTTTAACGTTATGTTATTCACTAAGAATGTTCCCTTCTACTGAAGCTGTCACATCTGCGCTGCTTTATGTGATGTGATTGGGAGCAAGGTGTGAGAAACAGACATTTTGAGTTGTCAAACCCATCACAACCTGTTTATATTCATTGTACAGAAAATAGAAAAGTCGTTTTCAATATTACTAATTTTACCCAATGAATTGAGTTCACTAGAAGTTTAAATGGAGATTTTTCAACTGACAAATGAAGATTTATTTGAACTATGTTAAATGTCTTGTTGTGATCTTTAATTTTAGAAAGTAGATTTTAAAAAATATCATATTTATACATTGAGTATTTGCCAACTTAAGATTGTAATGCACCTCATTTCAGTTAAGCAGTTTGAATGTTAAATTGCTGTGAATTTATCAGTCTTGTGATTGGGGGGGAATATACTTTTAATTGGAAGTTAACCTCTTTTTGTTTTGTTTTGCAGCGATCGATCTGAACCAAGTGGATCTTCAAAAGCAGTATGTAAAAACACCTAATTTCCTTGTCTCATTACACACATTTTCAAACTCCTCAGCAGTTGCTTTGTCTTGAAATCATTTAGGGAACGTTCCTCATGCTCCTCAATGTTGTCTTTGAAACCTGTTTGAAGATAACAAAGTTTGTCGAGCTGAATGTTTATATTGTGTGATTCGCTAAAGCTGTTGCATTGATTTTCATGTTTTTATACAATTCCCAGTGTGTACAGAAGTCTGTGCGCATGCTAATACACTGTGTTTCACATTGAATAAGTTCTCTACAAATATGAAGTCTGTTGTACGGTTTAGTGTAAGATCATATTGATCTATATAATTTTTGAACATGGCCAAATATACATACATATATATATATATATACATACATACATACATACACTGGCCATTTGTTCTTGACTTGGCTCAGTGTGTGTTTAGGTAACTGGCTATTGGCATTTAAAAGATAATCAAATGAAACTTGGCTCTCATGCAGTTTTAATTATTTAATTTTCATTAAAGGAAAACAAATTACTTTTAGTAATATGACTTCATTTCAATTCCCTGCTCTAGTTAAAACAGTAAATACAATTGAGTTCTCTGTTAATTCTCATTCTAATGTAAGTATCTTGATTTAATATATATATATGTATGTGTGTGTGTGTATGTATGTGTATTATATATATATATATATTATACAATTTCCAGTGTGTACAGAAGTCTGTGCGCATGCTAATACACTGTGTTTCACATTGAATAAGTTCTCTACAAATATGAAGTCTGTTGTACGGTTTAGTGTAAGATCATATTGATCTATATAATTTTTGAACATGGCCAATGTTCAGTTTGTTTGTCCTTAAAGTGACACATCTGTAAAAAGCTGTCTGTTTTTTGTTTTTAAATAAAAAAAAAAATACATTGTGTTATTTATTAATTTCACCTTGTATCATACAGCTTCAGTGTCTGACTACTCATGTTTACTCAATTGCTATTATAAGAAATAATTTAGGTGTGTGGATGTATGAGTGTGTGTGAGAGAGACATTGATTTTATATATATATATATATATGTGTGTGTGTGTGTGTGTGTG